CTTATTTCCTAGAATAAAACATCACATAATTAGTACTAAAAATTATAGGTTATTAGAGATTTTGATCCTGTGTACACTTGTCCATAACCACCACCGACTTTATTTTCTGGCTTTGCAGTTGAGAAGGGTGGGCCATTACTAGAGGGGAGCAGGATGAGAGAGAACTCGCTTGAGTTTCCTCATTGAGTATTATTGCCTTGGATAGGCGGACTCTCCCTTTTTGAAAGTGCGAGCACTCTTTCAGGGCCCTGGAGGCCAGACAGTGAGTTACAGGCATTCTTCTCCCCATAAACACAGGTCTAGTTACTAAGAAAATGAATCCAAGTGGCCCTGGGAGCTAAGACAGCACTCAAAAGGAAGAGTTGTTCTTCCTTCTTGCCAAGATCAAGTCCAATAAAACATACCTATACCAGAACAGGTACCTGGTACCCATGTCTCCTCCAAACGAAGTATGAATAATAAATTTGGACCTGATTTAGTAAATGATTGTTTTGAGTATTTCCACTACCCAACTATTGAGAATTAGTTTTCCATTTAGTTTTACATGCTGTTGAATTTCTTATATTTCTGGTGTTTTGTAATGTCACATGTATAAGATAATTAAAACCTAGATGTTTGACTTGGAATAATTAATGGCCAAGTCACATAGGAGAAAATCACAAAGAGTTATCAAGAGTTAATGGGGCACTGTTTGATCATAAATTTGCACAGAACATTTGTTTTGGGTTGTGACACAGAATAAATATCACACAGCCAACACTGTATCTCCTCTACCTTTGTGTCCTTGACCCCTCAGAAGCAGGGCTTGGACAGCAGCCAAGGTAGACAAACATGGCTTCCTTAGTTGGCCATAAACCAGTGGTTATCACTCTTGGCTGGACATCAAACTGCCTTGTGGGCGTTCAAAAATACTGAAGTTTGGTTCCCACTCTGAGGCAATTTAAGTAGGAATTTTAAAAGCTCCTTAGGTGATTCTTGTGAACAACCAAGGCTTAGAATCACTTCCCTCCACACATATAAATGTACAAATAAAGGTAACCTTCTGTGCCTCTGATTCCTCATCAAAGTCTCTTCTGTTTCACTCTGGATCCCATGTCCCTCCCACCCCAAACCACTTGCCCCAAGTTGGCATGTCCTCTTCCTTTCCCCAAGTCAGAACTTACCTATTCTGCATTTCATCTTTTCAGGGCTATGTTGCCTGCAAATATATACACTGAACCTGCTACATGACAGTCATGCTCCCTGGAATGGTGCAACCCAAATACACGACTTCCTGGCAAGTATGTCTGGCCCACTGGCCAGTGTGTATGTGCAACAGTCCCTAGTCAAAACGAGGTTGGGACTATAGTGGACACAGGTGAAGAAGCTGTGAAGGCTACCGTGTTTCTCCTGATGCAAAGAGCAAGGCCTGATAGGAATGTCTGACTCCTTTTGGCATTGCCCTCTCTGAGCAAAAGTGGTGAAATTATAATGTCTTCCCATAGGAGCAGGCTGTAATCACAGAGATTTACTCCCGGATTGTCGCAATGATCCTAAACCAAGGAGAGGATTTTTAGCTTAGTTTTCTAGACCCTCTTTATTTTCCCTTTTGCCAAACATTTTACCACCATATATCTCAAAGAGCTAATCTTAATCTTCAGCCAACCTAGGGCATATCTTCTTTTTTTTTTCTTTTTTCAAAACCATGGTGCTCCCTTAATGCAGATAACAGACAAATGGTGCCTTTAAAACTGGACACATGGGTCACATAAAATGACTCCAATAATATACTTGTTCCTTTGCAATCCCTTAAGATCTTTGAGGAATAGAGACCTGGATTCTGATTTATTAACTTGAGAATCATTCAAAAGCTACATAAGGAGTTTGAAAAATTGTCTTTATGGCTGAATTATCAGAAAACATCTCACTGAGTTCTGTCACTGTCCTTCCAAAGTTAGTCAGACAACAACCCAGATGGTGACTGGGGCTCTAAGTCTGGGTCTCAGTGAAGTGTGGGGAGCAAAGTCAGTACTACTGCTTTTGTAGGGGATCAAATAAATGATAAATTAGTCATCCTTCCCTCCAAATAGTGAGGTAAATGGATGATTTCATGATAGGGGTTATTGCTTATTATTAGAACCAGAGAAACAATCTAGCTCCTCATTGATGAATAGACTGCAAAGGCCCATTTTCCCCTGGGACAATAAGAAGGGCTTATCTCTTGAGGGAGTCACAGAGAGAGAATTAGCTTGTAGAGACAGTGGGTTTCAAGCCTTCTGATGCCACCCTAGCAGATATAATGTAATTTTGATGATGACTAAGGCTCAGTCATTTTCTCTACCATTGTCTGGGACAGGGAGTATTTTTCTTATGTTCTAATATAGAGGCAAGGCATTTAAATAGTACAGAGGAGAGATGTAAAGAATTACATGGACTAATAGTATTCATGTGCCAAGGATGATGATAAGATGGTGGTTGTGGTGTGTGTGTGTGTGTGTGTGTGTGTGTGTGTGTGCGCGCGCGCGTGCATGTGCACGCGCTCAAGTGAGTGCAACAGAACAGAAATGTTCAAAGAGAAAAGTCACATCCACATTAGATTCTTGTTATTGCTATCTCTTTGGATTATAAAAATAATTTTGATACAGTAAAACCTCATTAATTTATATTCCACTAATCAGGAGTTTGTGGGATAAAGTTACCCTTACATTAAGAAAGGGTTTATAAAAAACAATATTGAAAGACACGTTTAAAAAGAACCTATTCTTTTCAAGCATTTCAGAAGCTGTGTGTTAATTGGTGTGCTAATTATAAACTTTTGATCTATTCATTAATGCCAGAGTTTTAAGCACTTCTGTGAAATGCTATATTGTCCGTTTTGGTATTTTCTCTGCATGCTTTAAAAGAGTCTGTGTTAATTTTTCCTGATTCATATAAGCTTTCTCCAAAATAGTATTGTATTGCACACATGTAATTTTGGGTATAATAATTTATCTTGTTACAACACTGCAATTATGCTTAATTTCATACAAGAGATATATTACATATTCACACTTAATCTGTCTTTAAATGACATAGAGCTGTGGCTCTCAATTGGGAGCCATTTTGGCAATGGCTGGAGACATTTTTGCTTGTCATTACTTGGGGGTGACTTCTGGCATCTGGCGGGCAGAGGCCAGGGATTGTTCCTGAGCCTCCTGTGGTGCAAAGAACAAGCCCACAACAGAGAATTTTCTGTTAGTAGTAACTCTGTTGACAAACTCTGATGTAGAACAAATTAAATCAAATCTTATTGGGGACTTCAGAGATATTCATTGAATGTAATGCCACTTTGGACTGAATTTCATTGTTGCTAAAATAAACTAATATTTTAGTGTTTTTTTAATAGAGAAATGATAAAGTATCTGTTCAGAAAAATTAGAAAACTGGGTCCTTGAAAATGATGGAATAAATAAATGGTGCACTGCAGTTTGACTACCAATGTTTTCCAAATCTTAGTCTCAAATTCCTTTAATATTTTTACCATATAATTTTATGTATCATGTTTGTATTTCCAAGTCAGGATCTGTTCTGTGAGGCTGTTCACAACAGTCTGGAGAGATCTGGGGAGAGGCTTTTATGAGTAATCAGGAGAATTCAAGGACTCTGAGAAATGCTATCCCGGTATACATTTACTGACTCTTTTAATCATCTTTGCTCTTCTCAAAATGACTAAGAACATTTCAAGGAAGTACCACTTCAATCAAATTCACTAAAAACAAAAAAATCTAAAATAAACCAAGAAATACTATCTTTGGCTATTAAAATAACTTGAACTTCAAGAAAATGGTGATTTCTTAACACAAATGTAGATCTAGTAAGATTTTGATTAATAAAAATTCAATAAGCCAAATCCATTAATTTAAAAATATATATTCTTTTTGAAGGAACAACATATTACAGGATGGGTCCTGGAGTCGGCATATATTCTATGACTTTTGACTTCCAGACTCATGTTAAATAATGACAGCAGGTGTCTTTGTTTTGTTTTGCCTCTAGCAGTCCTCTGATAGATACCTTTTTAGTATGGTCATGTTAAGGATAGTCTTTATTCCATTTTAAAAGAGTTTTTAATAAGGAATAGGTGTTTGATATCTATTGACATAATCCTATGGTTTATATTATTTAGCCTGAGTGACAAAATTATTGATTTTGTATCATTAAACTGTCTATATTCCTGTCGACAATAATGGTGAATGAGGTCAAGACAGCAAACACATCCCTATATTTTATAAAGGTTTTCAAGAATAAGTATTAAACCAAAAGAATTTCTAATGAAAGCCCTTGTTAATCAGAAATGTAATAAATCAGAATCCCTTTCCGGAAACATTAACTGAGGTTTTACTGAATCATGCTAAAGAGAATGACCAGTTTGGTCTGTGCGTGTCAGGCTGCAAGAGCACCTTTGGATTGAAGACCCCACTGGGTTTGAACAGTAATATACTGTGTAATTGGCAGACAAGGATACGAATGGAGCATTAAAAATATATATCACTTCAGAAACTGAAACCAAAGAGTATGAAATGTTCTCAAAGCCAACTGCATTGTTCCTATAGTCTAGTTTCCCTAAACCTATTATTGTCAACTCCCCTGCAGAGAACAAGCCAGGCTGAACAAATGATTTGAGGTGATCCATAGTGCATGGTTTGTGACTAAAAATAGCAACTTGTTCTGAAGGTTACAGAAATGGAAATAATTGTGTTAGGAATGATTTACTATATTGGCAACACTTGATTATGACTGCGAACTGTGAATGATCTAAAATATCTTGGAGAGGAACATTAGTCAGACTCTTGCCATAAGAATTCAATAATGTTTTAGTATAATGAAAGAGATGAGCAGAAAACTTTGGTTTTGTTTTCTTTTCCTGTTCAGTTGGGTATGGAAATGTACTTGAAAATGCACTGATAACTTCTAATGCAAATTTTTTAAATTGTCAGGTGTGGCCCAATTTATAAAAATAGTTTACCATTAATCTTTTTTTCTTCTGTCACAACATGCTTTTGTTTCTTTTCCTCTTAAGATGTTAATTTATCATGCAAAGATTTTTTTTTCATTAAGTGCATTAATGCTTTTGTTTATACAGGATTTTTTCACATCAGGAGGACTCCCCGTAGTTCCTAAATGTAAATTCCTTAGCAAATGACATGCCAAGATGGTAGCTCCACTCCACGCGGGAAACGGCAAATTCAGCCATACCTTGGGATTTTAACCAGGGTTCCAGCCTTTCAGTTGTACAGTGTCTTTGATACTTCTCTCTTATGATAACTTCAGATGGACTGTAATGGAACATTTTTTTGTAGAAGAAACTGGCTTCTAGCAGTTGAATAGTGATGCTGGGAATAAATTTGGTTTCCCTGAATAATTGTTTCTGAAAGCAGTCACAGCTTCTTTAGAAGTTTAGAATTGGTACCATTTCTTATCCTTATATTTCAGCATTAACTGCAAAGAAAAAGTCACCATTTAAGATGTTAAAAAAATATTTAAAAGTGCTAATCAAAGCAAGCTCATATTGAGTGAAGCATGAATATCTAAGTAAGTGTCAAAACATAAACTTTATTTTATAATATAAAGTGCATATGAAAAAGATTAAAAAAACAAAACAAATCAAGCTGTAAAGACTCAGCTAACAGGAAATGATTTTTAATGACTGAGACAAAAAGGAATGTGTGGATTCCAGCCTCTACTGCCCCTCACACCTTCTTGGGGGATCATGTAATCTATCTAAGCACCATTTTAGCAGATGATGCCCAATATACACCCAATGTATCAGAACTAATGGGCAATTTTCTTTTAAATTATCCCCTAAGATAAAGAAGGATCAATATATTGTAGTATTTTTTCAAAAACGTTTTTCTCCCATACCATGGGGTAAATATAATATTTATACTGTAATGAGATCCAGGGTACACACAGGATGATTGACAGCGGCATCTCTGTTTAAACTTTCTTGGGCACGACCTAAAGGTTTCAAGTTATTACTGGAAGACGATGCCTATAGTTACTTAGGCAGCTTACCTCATGTGCGTGTTTGGAAAATGCTTCTGCACTGGTCATCATGCCTGCAGTTTTCTCTTCCAGGTCTCCTAACCTCTGTCCTCTCTCATCAAGTGCGATCCGTGCCCGAGTCAGCTCTCCCATCACCCCGCCTGCAGCGCCTTTCATCCCCTCTATCCCGCCTGGGCCAGGAATGTGCTGAGCAAGGCCGCGGGATGCTTTCCCTGCGGAAGCTTCCCCAACTGTAAATTCAAAACATAGCAATTTAAAACATTTGTCAGTAATTCAAATAGTTAAGCTTATCACCAAATTACTCATACTCAATTCAACTGTCATAATTTTCCAGTAGGAGACCGACATATTTGATCCTATCACAGATATATATTTGGACATGTTAACACTTACTCAAGAAAAATGCCTACAAAAGAAACTATGAGAGATATTGTTGCCATATGCCTTTTTGTGTGTGTGTAGATTCCATATAATATGTCCTGATTATATTTTTTAGTTTCCTTTTTTTATTACAGTTGACATACAATATTATTTTAGTTTCATGTGTACAATATAGTGATTAGACATTTATATACCTTATCAGGGAGTGATCACTCTGATAAGTCTTATACTCATCTGACGCCATACATGGTTATTACAATGCTATTGAATATATTCCCTGTGCTGTACTTTACATCCCCGTGACTATTTTGATAACTGGAAATTTGTATTTCTTAAGCCCTTTCAGCTTTTCTACCCATTCCCTCAACCCCCTCCCATCTGGGAACCATCAGTTTTTCTCTGTATCTGTAAGTTTCTGTTTTGTCTGTTCATTTATTTTGTTCTTTAGATTCCACATAAAAATGAGATCATATGGTATTTGTTTTTCTCTGTGTGACATTTCACTTAGCATAATACCCTCTAGGTCCATCCATGTTGTCACAAATGGTAAGATTTCATTCTTTTTTATGGCCAAGTAATAGTCCATTGCATATATGTACCACATCTTCTTTAACTGTTCTTCTATTGATGGACACTTAGGTTGCTTCCATATTTTGGCTATTGCAAATAACGCTGCAATGAACAGAAGCGTGCATATATCTTTTCGAATTAGTGTTTTGGATTTCTTCAGATAAATACCCAGAAATGGAATTGCTGGATCATAAGTTAGTTCTATTTTCAATTTTTAAAGAAATCCCCATACTGTTTTTCATAGTGGCTATACCAATTCGCAGTCCCATCAACAGCACAAGAGGATCCCCCTTTCTCCACATCTTTGCCAACACTTGTTCTTTGTTGATTTATTGATGATAACCATTCTGACAGGTGTGAGTTGATATATCATTGTTGTTTTAATTTGCATTTCCTTGATAATTAGAGATGTTGACCATCTTTTCATATGTCTGTCGGCCATCTGTATGTCCTCTTTGGAGAAATGTCTATTCAGATCCTCTGCCCGTTTTTTTTTGTTTTTAGCTGAGCCATCCTACCACCTGTTGGCAGCTTAACGGCAGCTCAGCTTGGGCCGGGAATCAAATTGGTGACCCTGTTGCTCAGAGCTCACACTCTTGAGTGAGCTCTTAACCAACTGAGCCACTTGGCTGGCCCCTCTGCCCATTTTTTAATTGGAGTGTTTGGGTTTTTTTGGTGTTAAGTTGTATGAGTTATTTATATATTTTGGATATTAATCTCTTATTAGGTATATCATTGGCAAATATCTTCTCCCATTCAGTAGATTGTCTTTACATTTTTTTATGGTTTCCTTCGCTGTGCAAGACCTTTTAGTTTGATTTAGTCCCATTTGTTTATGTTGTCTTTTGTTTCCCTTGCCTGGGGAGACAGCCAAAAAAATACTGCTAAGAGCAATGTCAAATAGTTTACTGCCTATGTTTTCTTCAGGTATTTTATGATTTGGGGTCTTACATTTGATCTTTAACCCATTTGGAGTTTATTTTTGTATATTGTTTAAAAAAGTGGGTGAATTTCATTTTATTTGCATGTATCTGTCCAGTTTTTACAGCACTATTTATTGAAGAGACTGTCATTTTACCCCATTGTATGTTCTTGCTTTCTGTATCATAGATTATTTGACCCTATAGGCATGGGTTTATTCCTGGGCTCTGTATTCTGCTCTATTGATCTATATGTCTGTTTTTATGCCAGTACCATACCATTTTGATCACTATAGCCTTATAGTATAGTTTCATATCAGGTAGTATGACACCTCTAACTTTGTTCTTCATTCTCAAGGTTGCTTTGGTTATTTGAGGTCTTTTGTGGTTCCATCTAAATTTTAGGATTATTTATTCTGGCTCTGTGAAAAATGCCTTTGGTATTTTGATAGGGATTGCATTGACTCTATAGATTACTTTGGGTAGTATGGACATTTTAACAAAGTTAATTCTTCCTATCCATGAGCACAGTATATACTTCCATTTATTTGTATCTTCTTTAATTTCTTTCTTCAGTGTCTCACAGTTTTCCAAGTACAGGTCTTTTGACCCCTTGGTTAAATTTATTCCAAGATGTTCTATTTTTTCTTGATGAAATTGTAAATGGGAATTGTTTTCTTAATTTCTCTGATAGTTCATTCACTAACTATGTATAAAATGTAACCTATTTCTGAATATTAATTTTGTATCCTGATACTTTACGGAATTCATTTATTTGAATTGTTTTTGGTGGTATCTTTAGAGTTCTCTCTATATTGTATCAAGTAATCTGCAAATAATGACAGTTTGACTTCTTCCTTTCCAATCTGGATGTCTTTCATTACTTTTCCTTGTCTGATTGCTGTTGCTAGGACTTCCAATACTATGTTGAATAAAAGTGGTGAAAGTGGACGTCCCTGTCTTGTTTCTGATCTTAGAGAAAACGCTTTCTGCTTTTCACCATTAAGTATGATGTCAGCTGTGGGTTTGTCATATATAACCTTAATTATGTTGAGCTTTGTACCCTCTACTTCCTCTTTGATGAAAATTTTATCATAAATGGATGTTGGATTTTGTCAAATGCTTTTTCTGCATTTATTGATGTAATCATATGATTTTTATCTTTCATCTTGTTTCTATGGTGTATCCTGTTAGTCGACTTGTGGACCAACTTTGCATCCTGGTAATAAATCTCACTTGATCATAATGTATGATCTTTTTAATGTATTGCTTAATTTGGTTTGCTAATATTTTGTTGAGGATTTTTGCATCTATGTTCATCAGGGATACTGGCCTAAAATTTTTTTTGGTAATGTTTTTGTCTAGTTTTGGTATCAGGATAATGCTAGCCTCATAAAATGAGCCTGGGGACCTTCCCTCTTCAATTTTTGGGAATAGTTTGAGAAGCATAGGTATTAATTTTTCTTTCAATATTTGATTAAAATTGGCCTTTGAAGCCTTCTGGTTCAGGACTTTTTTGTTGTTGTTGGAAGTTTTTTGATTACTGGGTCAATTTTTAGTAGTTATTGGTCTGTTTAGATTTTCTGTTTCTTCTTGATTCAGCCTTGGAAGATAGTATGTTTCTAGGAATTTGTCCATTTCTTCCAGGTTGTTCACTTTGTTGGCATATAATCATTTGTATAATCATAATAATCCTTTGTATTTCTGTGGTGTTGGTTGTCACTTCTCTTTCATTTCTGATTTTATTTATTTGGGCCCTCTGTGTTTTTTTTCTTGATTAGTCTCACTAAAGGTCTATCAATTTTGTTTATCTCTTCAAAGAAGCAGCTCTTGGTTTCCTTGGTCTTTTGTTTTTTAGACTCTATCTCATTTATTTCTGCTCTGATCTTTATTATTTCTTTCCTTATACTCACTTTGGGCTTTGTTTGTTCTTCCAGTTTCTTCAGGTGTAAGGTTAGGTTGTTTATTTGAGATTTTTGTTTGTTTCATAAGGTAGGCCTGTATTGCATGAATTTCCCTCACTGGGGACATTGTGTTTCATTTTCTTCTGTCTCAAGGTATTTTAAAATTTTTTTCTTGATCTCATTGTTATCCCACTCATTGTTTAGTAGCATGTTATTTGGCCACCACCTATTTCTATGCTTTTCAGTTTTCTTCTTGTAATTGATTTCTATTTTCATGCCACTGTGATCAGAGAAAATTCTTTGTATGATTTCAGTCTTCTTAAATTGTATTTTGACTTGTTTTGTGCTCTATATGTGGTTTATCCTGGAAATATTCTGCTGCCTTTGGGTGAAATGCTTTAATGTATCAATTAAATCCATCTGGTCTAATGTGTCATTTAAGACTACTGCTTCCTTGTGGATTTTATGTCTAGATGATCTATCCATTGATATCAGTGGGGTGTTCAAGTCCCCTACTATTATTGTCTTACTGTTGATCTCTACCTTTATGGTGTCAATATTGGCTTTATATATTTTAGTGTTCCTATATCGGGTGCATAGATGTTTACAAGAGTTATTATATCCTGTTATTGAATTGATCTGTTTATCATTATGAAATGCCCTTCTTTGTCTTTTGTTACAGGGTTTGATTTAAAGTCAATTTGTCTGATATAAGTATTACTACCCCATGTATTTTTTTCATTTCCATTTGCATGAAATATCTTTTTCCATCTCTTTACTTTCAGTCTGTGTTTGTCCTTCAATCTGAAGTGGGTCTCTTATAGGCAGCATATGTACAGATCTTTTTTTTTTCTCCATTCAACTACCCTTTGTGTTTTTATTACAGCATTAAGTCCATTTACATTTAAAATAATTATTGATAGGTATATAGTTATTGTGATTTTATTAATTGTTTTCTGCTGTTTTTGTAGTTCTTCTTAGTTCCTTTCTTGTTTACTTCCTGTCTTGTACATTAATGACTTTCTATAATGTTTTGTTTGGTTTCCTTTCTCTTTATTTCTTGCATGTCTCATAGATTTTTGGTTTGTGATTACCACGTGCTTCATATATACCAAGCTATGTTTATGGCAGTGTATTTTGAGTTGATGGTCACTTAAGTTCAAACATGTTTTAGATTGCTAGAATTTTTACGCATCCTCTGTACATGTGTGTGTGTGTGTGTGTGTGTGTGTGTGTATGTGTAAATACTAGAGAATAGGGTATATGCATGATGGTCATGAATATACATATGTTAAAATTTGGTTACTTTATAAAAGACTAAAAATTTCCCCATCACTTATAAATCTGTTTCATTTAATTTTAATGAAGTATGGTTTTTTTTTAATTGAAAAACAGCTGTTGTGGTAAAAATTTAGTGAGCATTCCCAAGGATGTAATATTAGGAATGGAACCTAGATCTATTTTTTTGAAAATCAGAGCCTTATTGGGATATAATTCACAAACCATAAAATTCACCATTTTAAAGTGTTCAAGTCAGTGATTTTTAGTGTATTCAGAGTTATGCAACTATCACCACTATCTAGTTTTAGAACATTTTCATTATTCCAAAAAGAAACTCTGTACCCATTAGCAGTCATTCCCCAATCCCTTCTTGCCCCAGTTCCTGGCAACTACTAATCTACTTTCTGTCTCTCTGGATTTGCCAATTCTGGATATTTTATATAAATGGAATTATACAATATGTGGCATTTTTTCTTCCTTCTTAGCATGATATTTCAAGGTTCATCTGTGTTGTAGCATGTATCAAATTCATTCCTTTTAATGGCAGATTAATATTGTATTATATGAAATTAACTAGATCTTTTGCATAGTTAAAAGTTCAAGAGAAAAGAGCTTTGGTCTGCAAGACCAAATGGTGATTAAATATTCTGGAAAACATATCCTTTCTTTTTTTCTTTTTTTTTTAAACCCAACCCCTCCACTTCGGCAACCATTAGCTTGCTCTCTATATCTATGGGTCTGTTTTTATTTGTTCATTTGTTCTGGTTTTTTTTTTTTTTAAGATTCGACATAATAAGTGAGATTATATGGTATTTATCTTTTTCTGCCTGACTTATTTCACTTCACATAATCTAGTTCCAACCATGTTGTTGCAAATGGCAAGATTTCATTCTTTTTTATTGTTGAGCAATATTCTATTTTATATATATGTAAAATGATCAATTTTATTCATGTTTAATAAACAGAATTTATATATATATATATTATATCACATCTTCTTTACCCATTCATCTATCAATTAACACCAGGGATGATCCCATATCTTGGCTAGTGTCAATAATGCTGCAGTGAACATAAAGATGCATATATGTTTCTGAAATAATGTTTTTGTTTTCTTTGGATACATACTGAGAAGTGAAATTGCTGGGTCATATGGCAGTTCTGTTTTTAATTTTTTAAGGAATCTCCATACTATTTTTCATGGCGGCTGCACCAATTTACAATCTCACTAATAGTGTACAAGGAAACTATATTCTTAACTTCTTTTTGAAAATGTTCCCTAGTATTTTTCTACTGCTTTTTGACTATTGTTAATTAGAGTCTCACTGGTAGATTTTAAAAATAATTTATTCCGTAGCATTGATAAACCTTGTATTCTGAAGATTCTGTTTCTCAACAATGGTTAAAGGCAGGCAGATTTAAAAACATTTTTTTCCAGACTTTAGTAATTGAATATCTTCACCCTGTCTTGCAGGTATTATTTATCTGCAAATGACACATTTATTAGCTTACTCACTATTTGTATAAATTTCATGTACTGTTTTTGTTGAATTATTTCTTAATATGAAGTGATCAATTTTATTCATGTTTAATAAACAAATAATTTTCATGGTATAGAAGCAAAATAGTATAGTCTAGAATTTGAAGTCACATATTACACTGTTACATACACACACACACACACACACACATACACACACACACACGTCTTCTATTTGGTGATACAGTTTTATAATCAGAAGTTTACTCACAGAGTTCTTCTCTGTCAAATGTTTGTCCACTTCCACCAAACAGTCCCTTTAGAAACCCTCTGTTTTGAGCTTCTGGAGTCTCTATGGGAGTAAACAAATCTCCCAGCATGTCCTGTATCAAATTCAAAGAAAAAAGCATTAGAGTAACTAAAAACAAATTAACAGAGCAAAAGATAACAGGTTGTGAGAGCACATTATGAAAAAACAGTCTGTTTTCCATATTTTCCTGGTGATTTTTGCTTTGATCCCAGTTCTATCTCTGGCATTTCTTTCTCCACCTCCTTTTCCTTTCCTTCTCCAGTAACTGACATTCTAAATTTTTCATTTTTATATTCTCTTCTCCCTTTACAATGAGAAAGCATGAGAAGATAATAGATTCACTATAGGATTAATTTTCACCTGATCGTGACTATTAATCTAGACTTCTGATCTCCTGAACCGAGTATGGAGTACCTTATAAAATAGGAAGGCTTTGGTGGTATGTGGAGAAAGGTTGGATGTATTTTTATATCAAATACATAATTATAAATTTAAATAATTCAGTATAGGCAGCTACTGAATGGTGAGGTATAATTGTTCTCAATATTTGGTGTTCTTTAAAATGACTGGAGAAAAATCTTGTTAGAAATATAGATGCTCAAGCTTTATTCTACACATACTAAATCAGAATCTACAGAGATGTTCTTTTAACTTGCTCTCCAGGTTTTTCTAAAGCAGATCAAAAGTTGAGAACTATCAGTATGGAGGAAGGAACTTCAACCAAAAGTTGAATATCAAACTGACCTAATATCAGTTTGTCTATGAACTTGCAGCATGACTTTATCTTCATCATCTCCCCTCACCTCTACTCACCTGACCTGTGCTCTTTGTCCTTAATCCCTTTTCTTTGGAAATGGCAGCACCATTCTGCTTGGTTCTCCAAGCCAGAATCCCAGGAATAGTTACTAATGCCTTCCTTTCCCTCATCCACCCTACCTCTAATAATACTCCAATCCAACTGATTATACTTCATAGCTATTGAGTCTGCTAACTTTTCTCCATTCCTCACTGCTGGCTGCCTTATTTCAAGCCACTGTTACTTTTGGCCTTAATTATTTTTAAAAAGCCTCCTCATTGTTCTCCCTACTTTCAGATTCTTCAAAACCAATTGCCGTACTGCAATTAATACCAGAATATTAATTTTCATAAATACATTTACTAAATCTTTTTAATGACTTTCTGTTGCTCTTGGGATAAACGCCAGATTCCTTAAGGAGCTTACAAGGTGCTCCAAGTTCTATTCTTGACTAATTCTCCAGCACCATCCCTCCATTCTTTTCAATTCTGAACTCTGAACTTTGTTGGCAGTTTTCTGAACCCCTGGGCTTTTGCATGCCACGACTCTGTCAAGAATATCATTACCTTTTCCATCCCCAGCCATTCATTCTGGTGGATAACTTCTACTCATTCTTCACAATCCTTTTCTAACTAGCCCCTCCCTCTGTTCCATCAACCCAGGTGCCCCTCTGACATGTCTCTCCAGCACTGGAATAGCCATATATAGACAGCATTTCCACAGAGTATTGTGGGTGTCTGTTTACTAATCTCTCCCTCCACACTAGCAGGTAGGGACTTGTTTTACTGTATTCCTAGAGCCTGGGAAAGTCCAGACGTAGTAAAAACTCAATTAAGTATGTGTTGAAGAACAATAATATTATGATTTATTTTTATAACTTACTATTTTCCAGGCACTGTGCTCATTGCTTTATATGAGTTCTTTCTCAGTTCTCACAACAGTGCTCCAAGACAGAGCATACAGGTAGTTTACGTAAAATTCCCGAAGTTATTCAAGTGGGCAAAATACAATTTAAATAGTTCAGAGCTTGTACTCAACTTCTGTATTATAATGAATGGGTTTTAGTTTTCTTATTTGAAAAATGAGGGGGTTGAACCACTTAAATTTCTAAGCTATTTTTAAAATTTTTGTGATCTCTTTTACTTACCCAGGGTTAGATAGGCTTTTATATTTATTCTGTTTCTAGGTTCTGCTTACTGCTATTATCAAAGACAAATGCCCACTTCTAACCCAGAATAAATGTGTATTTATTTTGTATGGCTCTTAATCAAAATTAGGTTTTCTTAAAAAAAAGTCCATGAACTCCCTGAATTGTATGCAATTTTTTTGGGTGCACATACATATTGCCCACTTTGGAGGGAGAGTTTATAATCTTTCAGAGGATTTTCCTCAGGAAAAAAGTAAATAAGTAAATAAACAAAAAAATTAACCATTAATATGTATAATCTTCACATTTCCCCCTTTTTCTTATTTGTTTCCACATATACCTAGAACTACACTAGAACGTGGTAGAGTCACAATGATGAACATAATATTCAAAACATATTCTAGGGAAGACATATTTATTGTGTGGCCCAATAATATTTTAGCTTTTAGACATCTGTTTCATCTCTGTCTGTACAATCATGTCCAATGTTGTTTTCATAAATGTGCCTGACCTACCTGTAGGTTATCACACATCTCTTGGCTGTATGTTAACCGCTGGATTTCAGTAGGAGAGACGAGGTATAATGCCTGTCCTTCATTGGTAAAACAAAATGTCCGTGCTATCCTCATGTCTGTCAGTGGCAAATAATTAACATCCAACAT